TTCACTGTGTGCTTGTTTGAGAATAGGGACCGCGCGTGTTCTAAAAGTTGACTTCGCTTCTACCAGTGGAACCTAAAACACGGTAGTCGCCCATGTGATTAGCGCCGTTCAGTTTATTATTTTCCTAATTCAGTTCTTCAGAGTTGAGTTTCGACCTTCAGGTTCTTTGTTGTCGCGATTAGATGACGAATCTCCTAATTCTCTTGAAGTTCAATTTTAAGTGGGAACAGCTATTGAGATGCTTAAAATGATCATATTACTGCGTTGACTCATTGTGACTGGTTAATAAGCATTCATGTGTCGTAACATAATTGCCTTTACCAGAAAATAACTTTATTATTTAACCCATGCATTTTCAGATTGATTGATTAGACTTGAAAGGAGACAATTGATTCCAACATGCCTCGTCTGAAAGTAAATGTGAACGGAAAGAAGTACACTATTTCTGGTATCACTCGTGAAACATGCAGCAAACAGATCCTCTGTGCCTTGGCCAAAGTCGATGCAGAATTACGATCAAGACAAACGACTGAGTCAAGAGGCGACCCCCTCGTGAATGCATCGGGTTCTTGTGAAGAAAAAAGCAGGAGTCCTAAAAAAGTTCGAGAGACGAGAAAAAAATTCAAGAAAGAAGAAAAGTGTGCGAGGGGTATGAAGACCGAGAACAAGCAACGAGAAAGAACGAAACGTTTTAATGGAAAAGTGCGTATTACAAAACTAAGGGAAGAATCAAGCAATGACGGAATTCAATTTTCTAGTGGAATATCTGAAGCAGTGGAGAAAAGCTCCGTCAATCAACAAAACTGTTTACCATCGCTAAATAAACGAGAGGGTTTGAGAGAAGAAGTCATTGAGAGCAGTTTACGAGCGAGGGAAGACTTGGACGGGACTATCAAAGGAAGAGACACAAGCTCTGTGGACAGCAAGGAAAGTAATCTTGAAGATCGCGCCCAAGACACTGATCATGACACGGGGATAAGTGAGTTACATTCAGACAGTTCATTTGAACACAACCAAATCTTGCACGTAAATTCCGGGGTAAATGAAATCTCAGAGGGGGGAACTCTAAAGCGGTCTTTACAAATTAAAGTGAAAGGCACCTCTACCGACGCAAATACCATAGGGTCTACTGATTTGACAAATTCATTCATGAGCGAAAATAATATATTAAACTTAGAGCACGGCGAGTACATTGTTGCCGAACTGGTTAGCAGTGAGACCGACATTGAAATATCCGACGAATGCACGTGCGTATACATTGACTCAGAGACTGAAGAACTTCAAAAAGAGATCGAAAAGATGCGTAGTGATTTAAAGTTAACAGAATCAAAGCTCATCGAGCAGAAGGAAATAATTGAGATGCTGAATGTTTTGCTGGACAACGACGATGATGAATATTGCGCCAACTGTGACGTCAATGATGACGTAAATAAGCGTATTCACTAACTTAAACAGTCCATCAAATTAAGCACTCAGTTGTATGATTATCAGAGGGTCGAGACCCAAGCAAATGCACTGGAACTAGAAAGAGTTGAATCCCGAATAAGGAGAAAACGATGGCACGTAGAAAGTTTGTTGAAAGAGCTTCATATGGCACGAAACAGCCCACCTACGAGGAATGGACAAGCGAAATCTGCTTTCTACCTAAGAGATGGTACCCTGGTTTAACAAAATCATTTGACATTTTTTATAAGGTTGTTATTATCATATACGCTTTGTTCTATTTGGAAACTTTGCTTTTGATTGCAAATATCAAAGTTCCTCCATGACTCCCATGTGTCCGTTTATAACATATCTATCAGGATCCTCATGATTGATAATTTGTCATGCAAGTTGTAAACTTTTTTATCCGTCTTAAATAAAGATAATTAAATAAAATATGGTTATTGGTTTCTCCCTTCATTACAGCCTGTTTCATCCACTGATCAAATGACACTTGGTTTTCTTTCATTACAAACAGCAAAACAAGATCTATTCCGTAGATATCCATCCAGCTGTTGTAGTTTGTAAGCACGGAGGGGTGGGTGGAGTGGACGGAAAGAGCCATGCATTTCATGAGATGTGGTGATGCTTTTGTTCAATTATTGTTTGACTATCAAAGACTCACAGTCAGTATTCCTTCTGATGGTTGAGAAACTCGTGATTTTGTGTAGCCCCCTATCAGCTGTTTCTGATAATTTTTGTTTCCACCTGTGCGTGATTCCTCTTAAAATATTCAGTCTTGACAAATTCAAAATGTTCGTGAAAAATCAGATTCTCTACGGATTTCGTTGAAGATTATTTGTCATTCTAGTACCACTTGAAATAAATTTAAAAAACCTTGCCCACTGTTACTGTTGCTTTGTAAAAAAATTTCATTCCAACAATGAATAAATTAATCTTTTGTTGGGCTCATTCGAATAACAATGTAAGGGATATAACTTAATAAAAAACGAGCACACCTCCAGGAACTCAAACAGGCCTTTCTCCAGTCAAATGGTTTTAATATATCCATGCCCTCGTGAAGGTAAGGATGTTTTTTTTTTTAGTTCAATAATTATTTCGTTCTTTTTCCAGGAGAGACATCTAATTAAGCCAAAAAAAAAAAAAAACCCTTTCTGAAGCACATCAGACAGGTTGTGAAAGGTTTGGTATATATGTAAACCGCAGGTCTAGTTGATTATTCTCTGGCTTCAGTTTACTCTTGAAGCTATTTTCAAGCTACTTACGCCTCCTTTAAAAGTAGGTTAGTGTTACTTTGTTTTATTCCTCCAGCTTCTCAACTTACCGTAATATTTTTGAACTTCCGCAAATAGTGAGGAAAGGCTAATCGTGCTGCAAAATTGATCTTAAATTGTTTCACTTATTTTAACGATAGAGAAACGTGCAGCTCAACCAACTACTGGTTAACTCATATTCCTCGCAGAAACACAAACAGGTTTGAACAAAATTTCATCCTTAAGACCTCCATGGAAAATTGTAATTGCAAGATAGATAGAGAGAATATATATATATATATATATATTTCAGTAATTCTTAAAATCTTCTTGAAGAGTGAATTAATATCGAAACAGGCTTGTCGGGATGAAAGTGTAGTCTCCTTGTTTTTTCCTATCGCAATATATCGCGCTCTACTTTTATGCCGTATTGAGCGCTGTACTGCGGAAAAATCGAAACGCAGATTTCATATATATATATATATATATATATGTATATTATATAGAAGATCGAAGATTTTGATCGATATGGCAAAGATAAGGCTAGATATTTTAAAGCGTTGAGATGTGTGTGTAAAAAATAAACACTTGAAATTTAAATACTTGAGTAAAATGATACGATGCCTCGCGCTGAGGTAAGACGATAGTGTAACAAAGACATTCCTTAAAAAATCCTTCGTTCCTCGGAAACTGTGCTCGCTCACTACAAAGAGCTTTGTCAGAAAAACTCTGTTCTTTGATCAAATATTTATTTACTGATTTCCAAAATATACTTTTCTTTTACGCAGAGCAGAGAGAGCGCCCGTGACTGATGCGATTTTAGATGGATCAGACAACACAATTTTATCTAATACTTGGAATTGAAAAATCTGGCTTTAGCTAGGCTTGCTTGTGTTTTGCAAAGGAAAACTGAAAGTCATCAGTCTAGTGTTTGGTTTGGCGCATGTTTGACTTCTTAAAAGCCGCCTGTTTCTATCGTGGACCACGGTTGTTTTCCTTCATTAGAATAGAACATTCTCAAGAGGTCTGCGAGCTGCACGAGTAAATATACCAAGGTTTCAGAGAATTAACTTGTCCATATTAAAATGCTTGAACGCTCTTAAAAAATGTCTGATGTGTAATCAAGCTGAAAACGTCCTGCCTTTTTCTATCGTAATAATTCGACGGAGGTGAAAGCTCGAATCACCAGCTGCTTTATGTTTTGTGATGTCACTAGAAAAAACTAAAATTCTTTAGTAAAGTGCAAAATGACGGCACTTTTTAATTTATTTTTTATGGAGAGTTCAGCAAACAAATACGTCAACGAGGAGTGGCTCAGAAAAAGCATGTTAAGAGTTCACTCTTGCGTCATCTTCGGTGGCTCATGAATAAAACCTTTGCGTGCTCTAGCTAGAGATTTCGAGCTACAATCATGGAGACTCTCGCAATTTTAGGTTTCGATGTCGTCAATCAACTGATCTGTAACCGTTGACTTCTAAGTAAAGAGAATCCCTGATAATAAGTCAAAGGATAATGCAATTGGACAAACTGCAAGAAAAAAATCAACGTCAGAAGGTAGAACAAGAAGAGTGGAGGATATCCAGATTGGTGACAATCAAAAGCTCTCTGTCTGCGCGGCACAACGTCTACAATAAACTACATCATCCGCGAATTTAGCGGCACTTTGCTTCGGCTACAAATCCCTACAAATATAGGGTGGTAGTAGCGTGCTGATGAAAAGTAGAATTAATGCAACTTTTGCGATTGAAGTATGGAGATAACATTTCCAAGAGCAAGAGGTCATTCCATTTCAGTAAGCTCTAGGTTATACTTCGTTTCTTTATCATTTTTAAATAACTGGACCTTTTTCGTCTTATTTCAGATAATCGTCACCACTTTTCCCACACTGAAAATATATTAGTACTACCCTTTTATCGACAAAAAAAAAACACTTTTGGTCGGCTTGAAAGTGATTTAATTTAGCCTTAATATCGGACATTTAATTACTTCACAGATAAGCCTCACAATGTAACACGATTCACCTATTTACAAGGCTTAATCTACCTTAATCTATCATTTTGCATCGTTAAGCAGATTTTTCATCAAACCATTAAATGTTTATTTATCAGTGATCTTGAATTAGAAAAGAAACGGATTGTACTGCTGGTATATGATGAAATGAAAAGTGCGGCAGTTAAGCATATCGCGATAATGAAACTGACACTTTATTATTCTTCTTAACAAAACTCAGTTAAGCAGCAGATACTTTCTGGATGGACGCATTTCAATGTATTTCTGTCGGATCGATAAACAAATGTTTTGAGCCAGAATCTAGAGATTTCTTTATTGTATTGGTAATTTACTTAGCAACAGAGAAGACCTTTAATTTCGCTGCTGTTATAAAATGACTTTTAGCAACGAGAATGCGAAAATCTGCATACGCAGATTACCTGAAGTCAAATTGAAAAAACATTAGTACGCAAAATGAATAACTTGTTTTGTACTTATTCATTACAACTAGCTCCTTCAAAATTTTGGTTGTAATCGTTTTAGTTCTCATGATTGGTCGAATACAAGTCGATACCGACCACTTTCCTTAACTATCTTTATGTAAACCTATTTTTATTGCTTTCGTGCACCGATTTTTTAAGCTACACCATTTGCGAAAAGATTAAACTCGGATAAATGCAAATCTTCACGACCTAACTAGAGGTTCCATGTTTGCGGCTATTTTCTCATTTTCCACACCTTACTGTGTGTTCTCCGTACGAAAGCTATAAGAAAAACTTTGAAGTTCAGTCTGATTCACATTTTCACACTTGAGTCCTTTCAATATCGCCTCGCGCACGTCTTTCCGTAGCAGTCCATAAAGTAGCGGGTTAAACAGAGCAGTTCCGCACGCTAGTGCTTCAGCTACCTGCAAAGCCAGCCTCAAGCCTTTGGTTTTTTTCTCTTCAGCAATGTGATGTTCATATATTGACAAAGAAAAGTAAGGCAACCAAGTCAGCATGAACGCACCGACAAGTAATGCGATGATTTTAACTGTCTTGAGCTTCTTTATGAACGATCGGTTCGAGATCTTTGTGCCGCTTTGTCCATGAGGGTTCGATGCATTGATTTGTCTCGCATGCTGCCGTGCTACGTAGTAAATTTTTATGTTTACCAGCAAGATACACAAACATGGTAGACCGAACACTAAGGCGAATCGCAGGTCTTCATAGAGTTTTGGAGTTCCACCATTCTCGTCCTTAAAAGCCAAGATGAGGAGCGCCTGGAATATCGATACCAGCCATATGATGGCAATGATGACTGTGGCGCGAGAACGATTCAGGAACGCGTCGTACCTCAACGGGTATGAAATCGAGAGGAAGCGTTCCAGCGTAACGCCGGCCAGGTTCAGAAGTGACGGAGCACCTAATAACGGAAACAACGTGTCCTTTGCTGTGGAGGTATCCGCTTGACTGGGATAGTACTGGCACCAGATGTTTAACGGAACAAGGACACTGGCCATGAAGAAGTCGGCCATAGCCAGACTTAAGACAAATGCGTTTGTGATGGTCCATAGTCTGCGAACGCGACCAATTGTACCGATCACACATAAGTTGATGACCAAACCGAATACTGAAACTAATACAAAGTACGTTATGAGAACAGGTAGATGATGTGGTGGTACGACCGTCGTCGATAACGCCGTCCATGCCTTCGTGGAGCTGGTATTTATTGTTTCCAGAAGCCTCAAACAAATGGAAAAATTACCCAAAAGAAGGGGTAAAACTCGGGAGTCATTGAGCTCCTTTAGTGCCGTGAAGTTGAACTGAGCATGAATATCTGGACATTTGCGAAGCGATATTTCGACGGACTCGATATCAGCAGCCATTTTTACCTTGATTGACTAAATGATAAAAGAGAGAGAAAACAGGAAACGTTTAGGTTGTAAAATTTACTTAGACTACATTCAAATTTTGGGAAATTTTTCATTTTGCCCTTACCTGTTGAATCACTGCCCAAAAATGAAATTCCGCTTTGGATTAAAACTACTTGAAACGAGTGGCTTTGCTCGTACTTGCTCCTTCCTTATTCAGAGCTAAAAAATTCAACAATTCAAGATTACAATTAATTCTTCTCGAATACGCTGCTGAAACCAGGGTAACCGTCAGGCCGGAGGCATAAAGTTTGCTAAATTATTTGCCCACCTAAGTGACGTGAAAATAGTGGGCAGGTGTTAGGCGAATCTTTTATGCCATTCTATTGGTTCAAGACACAATTGGATGAAAGCGAGTTTTTTCAAAGCCAACATCAATCTGTCAGACACGGAAATTTTCTTATTTTCATGTGTGTATAGTTCGGATATAGGCGAAAGAATATAATTGCTAATAATTTATCCCTGTTTTCCAGTTTTCATTTATCTAATTTGTTTTACAAAAATGCAATGATCATGTGATACAAACACACACACTCTCTTTCTCAGTTTTAACGTAGGTTTTAACGGGTTCTTCTCTTACATAACCACTCAGTGACTCACTGTCTAAAATGACTAATTCGTACTTGTTTTTGTTATTGAGATTTTGCAGTGCAAGTGGCGATATGGCTTCTCACTCTGCTGACAAAAGATATTAAGAAGTGTGCAAAATATCGACATCATGAAATAGTGCTCAGTCAAACAAATGAAAACGGCTAGACGCTTCGTATTTGGGCGACTCATTGGTGCTAAAAGTTAGACCCTGAGAGCAAAAAATATTATGGTAAATGATACCACAAAGAGTGGGGCGTTAATTTTTCCGTGAGATGCGTATGCTTTAATTTCCGCCAATATTTTCCACTGCCCACTCATTTCCTGATTGCTTAGTAATCTTAAAGGAGCTTTCTAATGATGCAAACCCATACAATAATGGCTTGATGGTGTGAAAAAAAATTCCGTATTAGAAGGAAATAAACATAAAAAACGAGCGAGGGGGATGATCGAGATACAAATCTTTAGAACTTTCTAACGCCCAACTCGAGGCGCACCAACCGTTAGCGATGCGTAGCTCTTCATAGGTAGTCTAGGTAGCAAAAAAATGACCAAAAGAATCAGAGTTATTAGCTGTTGTTAAATGTGCTTCAAGAAACACAAAATTCAAAAATGTAGGTTCAACAACTGCGTCTTATTTGATGATGATGAGAGCAAAGCCGGTGTCTTGTAGCATCGGCGCCATTCCTCCCTCATATTCGTTTTATAAATCTTTTGTTTTGCTTTTTTTGGCCAGGAACTCAGCAATTGTTAGTTTAAACGCTGTAGTGGCCTTGAATTCACTCTAAAGCTTTTTCAGAACTAATGGTGGGCTAAGAAACAAGAGCAACAATAATTACGAATCAAATAAATATTATTCCTGAAGCCGGCAGAGGACTATTTGTATTACTAGGTTTCATTAATATTTAATTGTGAATTAAGTTTTTACTCTAAGACCTGACACAGGAAAGTCACGCACAGTTTATGCTACCTTCTTTTGTTATTCCTCCAAATTCCTTGATCTGATCCAAATAAAAGATCTTCAGGGGGATGAAAAGCCAGGACTGTTCCACATTCAAAGAGATCGCATGTGTTATCGGAAAAAATACGTGATTTCATTAATATTTTCTATTTACAGAGAAAGTCTGATCTTATCATTATTCCCAATTTTATGGTGTTAAATAGGATTTAGGAAAATTGAGCAATAAGGAAAGTAAGACTCCTGTCACATATATCAAGAGTTCCTTTCGAACTGAAACTTTCAGATCGGATAAACTGTGTGAACTGAGGGCCTCAACTGTCAAGAATAACGTTCCTTTTGCGACCGTTTATTATTGTTATATTTTTCTCAGGCATAAACAGTTATTTAAAGCAAGCGAGTGTAATCATCTTTTTTTATCAATGCATAACAACCAAGGGTCATTAATGGCTTGGTGAAACTGAGATACGCGAATTGCAATCAATCTTGATCTCAGTTACGGAAGCTTTTGACAAAAACTAACTTTGCCGAAATAACACTAATGAGAGCCTTGGTGTTTTTAACAGGACAGTAGTCTAGCTTGAAGGCAATTTAAGAGTTTTGAGTGCTCTTTTCAAGGATTCATTTGCATGTGAAAAATATATTATTTTTCATTTGAAAAAGAATAATATTCGCCCTTTGTAAAAGTCTTCGCACCATTTGAGAATATATTACAGGCAAAACGAGACAAGAGCAAGTATAGATCCTAAGAAAAGAACTAGTTCTGCTCTTTGGGTTTGACTCTCCTCAGGAAAATGAAAAAACGATGAGAAACTAACCAGCTGGAGTTGCAATATTCGTTCCTTATCTGACTTCCATGCCGAGTTTCAGTCACTCCAGAGCTCATTCGCTGATGTAGTTAATGGCAATGGGATAAGGAAATATAGTCCTTTACAATTGGGAATCGCTTTCAAGGGATGACGCAAAATATTAACATTAGGATCGGAAGTTTAACTTTAGAGCTGCTTTCCTTACGCAAATATCTTTATCAGTGACAGTTAGGAACCCAAATTTATGTAAATCAAGCATCCTATAAAATTCTGCAAACATGCACAGTTAAGCGATTCATTAATATGATAATCTTCTTCTGATATGATGCAGCACTAGTACGATGAATATGAAATTCTCTTAGTTAAAGTTTAACATTTCATTTATCTTACCATATGATTCTGATCGAAAGAGACTGGAATTTTAGTTCCTAGAATCAAGGTTCTTAAAGGCCACTCCCCGTTTTCAGTGAGCGAAGTGCAATCCAAAATTATTAAAGTGTGAACGATTTACTTAGAAACGTGATATTTATTTACGGAAAATAGAAACTCCTTCGCCCTAAAATCCTCAATTTGCATCTTTGCGTGGTATGGGAACATAACTCCCAATTTATTGTCTGACACGAAACGTTCGATATATTACTTGGATGGTCTATGTAAATTCAATTCTGGGAATCTTTGACATTAGTAATAAAGCACGTTGATTAAACACTGTTGGCCATGTTGTGGCAAATCAATATCATTTTCCTGGCCTTTTTTTCATCCTTGTTCAATCATTTGTTTAAATGTCGAATAACTAATGTGCCTATCTCTCATTGGTGCAATCAACTGTTATAAATGAGGTGATTGATTGCAGCCTGATATCATGTTTAATGGTTCCTAAACTAGCCTTTCTATTTACCAGTACATACACGTATGCCGTTAGTTTTATTGTTCTTCCTACTGAAGTTCGTGTTCACCTTGACGGAAGTCTGATATCAAAGTTTCAGTATACCGCGGATGTCATAAGAGTAATACAGGATCCATATTACGGCTGGAACAAACAGGAAAAAGTGCAATTGTTCTTTTTTTGTCTTTTTTGTTTTTCAATAAAAAAATTACAATTTACATGTATCGCACCAAAAATATGTAGCTCATGACGCTACCAATAATCCAGTAGATATAAGAGGTATATACCAGAGATAGGATAAGATTGGATGAAAGAGTCCCCAGTTATTGTGAACGTCATAACTGGAAGTTTTCGCAGACACTTAAAAACGTACACAGTGACGTAATAGCACTAGAAGTGACAATCTGGCGTTTGAAAAATTGGTCAACAGTTAGTGTGAACTAAATATAAGATTGAGCGTTTCCCCTGTCTTCGACTACCGTCTGTTACTACAGTTTGACAGGAGAGGCACTCACAGGAAAGTCCTCAATGAACGTGAAGTGGCGATCGTAATAGGTTTGCTTATTATATTATCAAGCTAGCTTCTCTTAACGTAGACTTTCTAACGCACGTTGTGAGTGTTTAGTTCTACATAACTTTCTGAAAAAATTACAAGAATAAGGAGGCGTTGAAAGTCAACATCACTCAGGATTGCATCTAAAGAAAAAAACGTAAAATATAACGAAAAAGAAAAATTTACAATTCCTTATGAAAATTGTGATATTTTCTACAATTCGCATAAGACGTTTACTTGAGGAGAGTAATCGATGAAAGACACAACACAGTCTCTTGGTTTAAGTTGCCTGTTAACCAATGGAAATACAAAGAAAACATCATTACTTTGCATATTTTATGAGTAACAAATTCATTGTTCTAAGCGAAGATCTTATTAGCATCAAGACAATGACTTGAAAGAAAAGATAGAACACAAAAGCTTTTTTTGTTTTCAAAAATGAATAAAAGGAAAATTAACAAGGGTCTTGACCGGGATTGCATGTAAACTTACAAACTAACAATAACTATTCTCTGCAGGTTACAAAGTTGTCCAGATAACAGAGTTTTTCATTTTTGATTCTGGTTTATTTTACGCAAAAAAAGACACACTTTTTCGGTTTTCCTTACCAGCCTATGTTTTCCTTACCAGCCTATGTTTTCGTGCTGGAACTATTTGACGAGTGCCGGTGATGTATATGATAAGAATTTTCACAGCATTGAAAATAAGGTTATAAACGAACGAGGATGTCTTTGGCATTCAGAGCAGCAATTATATTTGGATATGCGGTGTGTTTTATAATTAACGGTGGTTTTATTCAAAGAAGCTGAGTGGGGGATTGATTGTTCTCCAACTCAACCCATAAATTTACGGTTGTCGGAAAAACGTCCCTTTAAACATTAGGTTTTTGTAAACAACGTCCGATGGTTGACGGTTTTTTGGCGTTTTGGCAAGGAAATACCTTTTTTCTTTTGAGGATCGGATGCGATCGTTTAACCTGTCTTACTGAGAGGTGCGATGGAATTTATGGCCTGAACAGTTTGCTTAAGTATTCACAGGTAAAATGAGATTTTTTTCTTCATTGCCACCTTTATGATGTACTTGAAACTTAAATCATGATAGAATGTATAAGCATTTTATTCAAGGCGAAAATAACTGTAGGAGAGTTTACCAGTCCAATGAAGGTGAAATGCCGTTCTATACTTAGATATCGCAAGAATCGAAATTAAAAGCAAAACCAACTTACGTAAACACCATACTTCTGAATAAGATACAAAATAACCTCATCAGGTTGTAGCGAATAGAACTAAACCATTCTTAGGTAATAAAAATGTAGCTAATATACCTAATTTCCGTTTCTTTACATAGTAAAATTCATTAACATTGAGCCTTCCCTTCGGAGAATTCGTTAGAGATGAACTTATGTCGCTGAAAAAGAGTCAGTCATAACATATAGTAGGTAACGTTTCTTGTTTTTGTTTCGCTGATAGTCATACGGAGATGTTCATAATTACAGTACCCTAAGATATGTCCCCCGTCGGACTCTGTGGTCATACATTTAATTACAAGTTGTGCATAAAAATTGATACTTAGATTTCAATTATTGTTTTTTTTCATGAATTATTTATTTTCACACAAATCTTTACCTAAACCTGACTTACTCTAGACAGCTAGCGCATGTTATATTTTTAGTCAACTTTTTGCTTTCCATTATGGCAACTTTCTAAAATAAATTTCTATATTTATCGTTCAATCTGTCAAGTGTTTTTTCCTTCCAGGTGAGAGGGGCTGAATTAACTTTTCCCACCGCCACAAAGAGTTTCAACATTATTATGGATTCAAAAGCGATAAAAAGGAAAAATAAGATATGCTATTAGGGGTACAGAAGAAAAGCAAATTTAAAACTCTCGTAATTGAAGGCTGGCTGAAGATCTTGAACCAATTATCTCTGGTATTTTTAGAAACAAATTTTATATTTTTGGCAAAATAGATATCAGTTTCATTTGTACTAGGCGAGGAATGGTTTTGTTTTGATTTTTTTTTACAGCTTCCACTTCCACGACAAATTGATCTCGTCTTGACAACTGCACTTAAAAAGAGGTACTGTTATTCTTGATAAAGTATTGTATTGTATAAGTATACAAAACTTCGACAGCATAAAGAAAGAGATTGGTAGGAAAACTAAGGCATCGAGTTATCCTTAAGTATGGTTTTCAAACTAGTTTCACTTGGCAGAGTGACTTCACTTTGTCCTCAAGTCATAAAAGCCGGGTTTCTTTGAACTTTTTTTTTTTCAGTCGCCAGCATGGTTTGAGAAAGCAAACTGATATCCATTTAACGAACGTTAATCTAATCGCATGAAACATCAAATGGAAACTCAACAAAAGGAACGACGGTAGCCCGTGAAATTTTGATATGGCTCATTGGGTTCTGACACAAGACACCTCAGTGCCAGGATCCTCGCGAAACCAGACAGAATTTATGGGTGGGAGGGTTTAGAAAATATCACGTGATGAGCTTTTTTTTGCCCTGGGAGACCGACAAATTAAGGTGCCAAGCTCTTAAAAACCCAGATTCTAAGAAGATACTTAAGCAGTAAATTTCCATCAGACGTGCACATCTTGAAACCATTTCTAGTCTACTTGAGGCACAAATGAAGGATTGAGATTCTGATGGCATATTTATTCGTGATTTCGAAGTTCCAAATGCAATTTATAACATAGCTTTACAAAAGCGCACGCTCTGATTGGCCAATATGCTCGATTCATTTGCGTGTGGGTTGCACCCTGACGTCAGTTTGTTTTGCATTTTTTTACGACAACCTTTTTTGACGATGTTGCCACTTCTTACAACATAATTCCTGTTTTTTGTGGGTTTTCTGCTCGTGAAATATGGAAAAATCTTGTAATTTTTCCGGAGATAAGGAAGATAATTCTTGTGAGCTTCCAAATTTCGAGCTCAATTTTTTGACGGGCCTTCAGCAAAGAGTTCGAGATTTGCGAACTTGAGTGAGCAGGAGCTTAATCAGCTGGTTGAACAATTAAATATTTATACACGAAACGAAAAAATGTTTGAAAGTCTCAATGTTATAAAAGAAATGGTTAGCGTCCAACGTGCAGCGTGCAACCATCGAGTTATGGATGCACTTGGGAGGTTTGCTAAGCACTCAAGAAGCTAGAGTCGCACTCGGCTATGGCCTCGTGCGTTTACTGAGTTTTGCGAATTTTCCGTTTTCAGCATTTGGTTTTCTGTTTTCGGTTTTCGTCAAAAATTTTGATGGGTACTCGGATCTGGTATCCGATGTGCTTTTTCGGTATTTCATATTAGACTTCCGGTTTCTCTTTGATCTGAGCAGCAGTTATACGCCTCTGCCGATCTCGAATAGCAGCGAAACCTATGTTGCTCCACTTGTTACCACAGTATTACATCGGTGAGGATTTTGACAACTGAGATGTGCAAATTTATCGTTTTATACGGTTTGGCATGCGGTTTTCGGTTTGATCGATTTTCTTTTTTGCGGTTTCTAATAGACCCCAAATGATGCTTCCCTCCTAAAGTAACGCATCTTCAACATTAACGATTAAGATCTTTTACTACTGGCTTCTGTAACAGATGGTGGCATTTTTATCTACGCGTTAGTGTTTAGAACCCCCGTGAAGAAATGGAATAGTTTTAAGAATGAGTATCACGAAAAGGTATACATTTTTTGAGTGTGGGCGATTTTGCGCCCAGTTTACGTTACTGGAGCATAAATTTTCACCGTGCCCAGAAAAACCTTAAGCTAGGTGATCATCTCGCATGGGCGAGGTAAGAGTAATTAGGAAAATAGCACAAACGTACAAACCTCACGTACTGAGGTAAAAACACACCAGCGAATTTGATCGATGTGTCAGCTTTACATTTCAAATAAAGATATCATCTATCTTGCGAAAGTTCTTCTGACCTGCCAAAATAGGCCCTCCAATCGTTTCAATTTTACTAATAATTTTATTAAGGCAGTTGATAATTAGAGGGTTTGCGGCTGGACAAAATGAATTTTTTTCCTTACGCCTGTGAAAAAAAGATGTTTGATGTAAGCTTTCAAGTGACGACGCGTTACAATAAAAGAACGTTTGTACTATTCATGGATGTGGTGTTCCCATAAATTATGGATGGAGCTCTGTTAGCTAATTTCAGACAAGAAACTGCGTATAACTAAGACTAACACAACGATATTATAAGAAAGCTCTTCACATATCGTCTTTGATCCATTAATTTCAACATCGCCTCTTGTATAAAAAGCTACCTTTTGTTTCTATTTAACATACCTTTCTAAGATGATCTTTCGTTAGCTCTCAGCTCGATCCACCATTTTGGTTCATCTGGATCTTATTTAAAATATATAATGTAAATTTTTCTTCGATTCGTAAGCCTCAAATGAAGACTGACCACTCGAAACCGTTTCTTCGCCCTTAATTTCGTGGCTCAGTTGTCTGCGGCACCTAATGGTTTCACTCTAAAAGAAACGACGTGCGTTCCTCGATGAATATTCCCCGCAAAGTATCAACAGGGCTTTTTCTTACTCGTTGCAGGCGTGTTTACCCGTCTCTTATTTCCTTTTGCTAATCTTAATGACATCATGAATAGTTATTTTATATGTCAATCAAATTATCAAATTTCAGGAGGACCATAGAGTGGTCTAGTTCTTTTTTATTATTCTTAGTTGGGAAATAAAAAACTAGTAACAAATAAGACTTGACTTTGGGAAAGAACTATCTCGCTTCTCCATCTTTTTTCTCGAGGGAGTTTTCTTAACTGTGACGTCAGCTTACAAAGATAAAAGAGACATAAGGGTGGGTATTGCAAGTTTCACCGTATTTCGTTTGCGCCCTTTATATCCCACGTATATAGTACTTGTAAGAAAATGTAATGAGCCGTTTGGATTGAAGTTTTACTGCATGGCTGTCGCCACTGACTCGATTAAAGAGCAAACAAATGATATGACTATCTAAACTTCCCTCGTGCGCAGAGCAGGTGGGATTGTGAGCCATCTTTGCCTTCAACTCAGTCACGTTCTTAACGCAAAATGGATGAATTATTCAAATAAAAAGTCGATGGCTATAAACCACCAGAATTAAGTGATATAATCATTGATATTCCTGCTAATGTATGCGGACTAAGTTTTCCGTCACAAAAAAAGAAGATATTTAAGTTTTAAAAAGGTCCTAGTATAAATTGATGAGACCTTTTATCTCACAAAGTGTTGATAAATGGCGACGTATCGACAATACATCTTCTAATAATTCTTGAAAATGTTTTCATCAATGAATGAAATACTCCTGCACTTTGCTTTGACCTAAATTATGATCACTTATGCACATTGATCTTCGCCAAGAATTAAACAAAGAAAAATTTTAAGTTGAAAATATAAACCTTATAAGCCCGCTTTGTCGCCTTTTACAAGTACAAGTGATCAATGTTACTATCGTCGTCACTGTAGTTATTGATTGGCTTGATCGTTGATAAAATAAAAGTGGCAGTGCGGTTGCGGCTGTTTCATGAAACGTCCGTAAATATCCACCAATGAGCCCTTAAGGATTTTAAGTTACAGACAACCGTTTGTTTTTCTTCTCTTAATTCTTGTGTAAAACACCGGACACTGTCAATATGAAGCGCTCCCCTGTAGAGTAACATTGAGTTGAGTTTCCTGAGTAGCATAGCGTGGATTCCGCAATGGCTGAGAAACGACGCAAAAGGTAACACTATGCAGGTGTTTGATACTACCATAAGGACACCGATCCAGTCGTTACACGTGTGTTAATGTACACGGCAGTTTGTTTACAGTGGTGGTTGAACTCTGGACCAAATAGTTCAGGTTCGACTTCTAATGAAAATCCTGCAAGAGACACTTGACTGATACAGTGCAGTGTCCCGATCGCGGTCAATGGGGCCGACAGGTGTTTGTAGAAACGTGAAACCACTGGAAACGGGGAATGTCGCCTGACCAAATGTGGAGAATGAAATGACAAACTTGAGGTAATTCTAGTTGATGCATTGTATGCTTTAGGAATTGAGGTGTGGACTGTTTGAATCAGAAATCAGATGATATCGAGTAAAATACCATTTATGATCACTTGCTTTCAATCGATTGGACTGGTTTTGTATTTCACGTGCGAATAAGTATATAGAACTTACTGGCTTTAAAAGCAAATTTTTACCGAGGTAAACAATTGTTGAGAAAAGCAATTTTTTACCGAGGTGATCAATTGTTGAGTTAATTTTAACTGAATTTTCCTTTGCAAGTCATTTGAATAGCGCATAATTAGGCTTCGTACACGAAACGTCGATCACTTAATGAAAATTATTTCGAACATTCTAGAGTTGATGGTTAAGTGAAAGCTTTTTCATGTCACAAAGTTATGCAAATTAAACAGAACGGACAACTTTTTTAAACTGACTAGACATAAACTGACAGGAGTCCCATAAATTTGATTGACAGGCCACATGGAGAAAATAGAATGCTCGGCGTACGTGTTCCATGATTCCTTCATTTCTGTCCTCCGCAAATCAACATCGCGAAAAATTAAATCATGCCCAGTTTAGTGCGTGGGTTTGGACGACAATTTTTAAAACGTCTGTTTAAAACTGAATATTGGACTTCATGGCTCACTAATGATGATTTGGACATTTTGGAACGCTTTGGGCCAACGTTAGAGAAACTGCTTCATTGATAGTCGATGGGATATTCTGTCATTCTCAAAACGATTCTTAACTCCTTTGTGAGATGTAAAAGCTTGGTCTGTTAGTTCATCCCAGTCCTTACTCCTTATCCAGCTTTATTGCTTCGTAATTCATCGCCGACAGTGTTCTTAAACAAAACAATGCTGATACCCTTAATTAGGCCAACATGCAAGAAACCGGTATTTGACAGGTTCAATCAAACTCATCAATAGCCAATATCTCTGGTATTTCGTTCCATTTATTTATTGTTGAGCCATAAGATAACAAAATGTTGTTTACCACGGCTCTATTGTTCGAGTGCTTCAATAAACCCTTTTGAAAGCCCAATAGCGCACTGTAAAATATTTGTTCAACCGAACATGAATTTCTTTTCCCGATGTTTTATCGTATCTTATTGAATAAAATTTAGAACTTTTTCTCTCAGTGAACCACTATTGACTGGCAAGAAGGCATATCCTTTGGTAAATTTTAACGCTGGAACACCTGTTAGGCTGATGAGTGTTTTGACGCAAATAGAATGAAAATGTGTTCCCAAAAAATAATGTACTCGTTTCTGAGAAAGAATCGAAATCACTGATGGGATTTCTTATTTTCTACGTGAAATTCAAGTTAAATCTTCCGGTAAGGAAAAGCTCCAAAAAATTATAACTCTGAAAAATCTTGTCCTACTAGTTTCAAAATCGTTTATTTTACCTTCCATTAATAAATAGTTATTGCGCAGTTGCACCCCGTGAGTTTATACATGTTGCTGAATTTATCTAAACAAATGTTAAATTGTCTCAAGCAAGGTTGTTCACACAAGTCCCAAGCAGCAAAAATAGCCCTTTGTATGTTATTAAGTTTGTTTTGTAATCGACAGGATACGGAGAAGAATTGTTTGGGTTCGATGAGGCGAATTTAGCGGACTAACATGACTTACTCGAGTTCAATTATTGATGTTTCAGATTCTGGGCTGTGGGTTTCCAAGACGGAATTAACGGTAAATGTGGCCGTGCAGTTCTCACATGAAATTATCTTTCATGCAAATATGACAAGAAAGTAGGTTTTTCAACTACATACCCTGCGGCGCATACTGACTTTGTGATTAGTTCCCGGTTTTGGCATAGCTTTAACTGTTAGGCTCATATGTTTTTTTTAATTTTTTTACAGCCGTTTACGCATCAGGCGCCGCTCTACACGCGCATCAACTCGTCGCACAATGATAAGAAAAGCAACAAAGGGAGACAGTACCTCGGTCTGGTCACTGGATAGCCAGCCTCTCCGACCCCGAAAAAGAATATTATTAAACGTAGGAGGACGACTATTCGAAACGTGGCAAGACAACTTGGACAATTATCCCGACACACTTTTAGGTAGTCCCGAGAAAGAACTGTTTTACGATTGCGGAACCAAGATGTATGTATTTGACAGAGATCCGGAAATGTTTCGGCACATTCTCAACTACTACAGGTATTCCTTTTTTCCATATGTTATTGTTAATTTACAAAGAGTAAAGGTCCGCAAATGTACATTGCGCCGCACAATTATATCTCAATCCCCCCAATGTTTGGGATTCATGCGGATAAATTTTTGCCAACCAAAAGTAAGCCACACGTTTTATGTTATTAACAAACAACCGCCAAGCGAATAAAATAATTCGATGGGGCAAGTCCTCCGGATCAATACTGCTTGAAAACGAAAAAAATAATAGTACATTCGGGTTAGCGTTTCAATCGTTTCTCATTTTTTTTTTTTTTTAACTGAGTACCAGACGCCACTTACGAAAGGTAGCCTCCAGATAAATTGTAAAATCTACGAAAAGCGTGGTGCTATAAAGGCCGAAATAAGTCACAATTTTATGATTCGCAGGTTGTAAACATTTCCTGCTATACTTAGCATTCAGTGTTAAACGTTTGTATTTGCATTTGAAACGGCATAATTTTTAATCATTTTACAAGTTGGTTTTCCTCAGAAAACAAAAACATTACTTAATGGCACACCGGGGAATTTCAAGAAATATCCTTTTCTCAGGCTGACGAAGAATATCAAGTAGCTTTGATAAAAATGAAACTGAAACAAAATATTAGCTGTGACCTAAGCTTGGTTCAAAATCAATTAGTAACTGGTGGCAGTGGGGACAGAAACTAAACTAGAAACATTAACCGCGCGACGACCACATTTTAAAATGATAAAAAATCTTGTTATTGTTTAAACTAAAATACTTTTAATTATCCCTCTTCCCTTTTAACGAAGTTGGTTCAATCCCTTTTTTGAGGAATAAATGTTGGAACTCTTTCACTTCCACAATCAGAATTCGAATTCTCCCAACTGGTGAACGTATTTCTCTCTGTTGGATGCTGGGTAAAATTTGAAAAAGGGCACTACAATGTCTTCAATGTGATCATTTTCTTATTCCTCATTACCTCTATCAAGCACTCCCAGAATTATAAGAATTGAATGAAAACGAAAGGCAAGTAACACTGACCTTTTTAAAAGGCACAAAAGTAACATGGCGAAACTGAGAATCGACGAAAATTTAGATTCCCAATCCAGCTTGTTCATTTATTATTCATTTTACTCTTAACTAATTTAAATAAATGAATCTTTAATTGTTTGTCTCAAGATTCAGAATGACTACGTATTCTCCAGTTCAGCTGGTAGATAAGGATCTCGACTTTTCGTTGAATACACTGCCAGTTATAACCAGGCAGAGACTGAGTGATTATAACTCCGCTGCTATTAAATAGCTCTTATGGTATATTTCCATCCCCATTTTTTTCCCGAGAGCTTGACGTTGATCCTCTTGGGTCCACTCTGTCGCTGACTCTAAATCGGAAGACGAACGACTTGATATTTATTCAGTATCAAAAACACGAGTTACATACATAATTCACAACGCGCATAGTCTTACTTATCTGACCAGCCTTACGCATGCTAAGATGCCGGCCAGGCCCACTTTGTCGCAACTCATTGAATATATGATAATTTGGTTTTATGAACTCAGTTGATAAAACCAAATGATCTTGTAATACCCTTACTGACGCAGCACCGCGGTGTCTTTAGAAACTTGCCCCCTTTATTCATAAATATATGTGTAATCGACAATCGTCTCCTTGGTCCCAGTTCCCTTGGTCCCAGTTCCCTTGGTCCCCTTCGCAGACAACTTACAATAACGATCGTTTCTCTCCAGACTTGGTAGGTTACACTATTCAAGTGACTACTGTGCAGACGAGTTTCGTGATGAGCTTTCTTTCTTTCGCATCTCTATAAACGCCGTATCTAATTGTTGTTGGGACGATTACAGGCAGCCAAGAAAAGTACGAATCGACAAAGTGTTTACGTTAGAGGATCCACACGAAAAACTTGAAGTAGAGAAAGGATGGAAACTCAGAAAAAAGGTCTGGAACATTTGTGATAATCCACACGAATCGGTTCTTGGTAGATTGTGGTACTATTTCTCTGGACTGCTGATCGCTTTAAGCATTGTTTGTACTGTTGCTGAGACTATACCACCTCCTTGTGACGAGAAATATCTTTGTCAGAACCACACTTGTGGGAAGGAAAATTGGAATTTGTCAGCCATTAAGTATGGAAATGTTAAGTCTTGTAGACGAATCGATGATTACATGAAGGAAAGAGAATTCTTGTATTTTCTATTGGAAAGTGTTTGTGTAGCAGTCTTTACTTTTGAATATTTGACGCGGTTTATAACTGCACCAAACCGCTGGTCTTACGTGAAGGAGTTTATGAGCGTTATAGACTTGCTGTCGATATTACCCTATTACGTTGGGCTGATACTGGAACATGTGCTGGAAACATCAGTGGACAGTCTCAGCGCTTTGGTTTTGCTGCGAGTACTTCGTGTCTTTCGCGTTCTGAAATTCACTCGACACTCCAGTCGATTACGAAGTTTGTTATTTGCTATCAAGCGCTCTGCTTCTGAATTGGGTTTTATCCTATTCAGCTTCTCTCTCGGAGTAACTCTGTTTTCCAGTGTGCTATTCTACGCGGAGAAGCTACCGGACCTCAAACCGAACAGAACAAACCCGTTTGACAGCATCCCAGCCTCCATGTGGTATTCGGTCGTCACCATGACAACAACTGGGTAAGTTATGTAAAGAGGTGCCACCCTGTTATCAAATCCAGCCATTTCTTAAGGTATCGATAATTCTTGTATTGTTTCCGGCGAACACCTTGGTACAAATCACTTGACCATTTTTATATCATTAATTTCATACGTTCCAGTTATGGAGACCTTGTCCCGAGAACAATCATTGGACAACTGATTGGTAGTGTTGGCTGTATTGTTGGTGTATTAATGATCGCCTTGCCGGTTCCAATTATTCAGAAGAAGGTGAGTTATGGAAACGATGCTCATTATCAGTATTGGTTCGATCTCTGCCATTTCTCAGTCAGTTTATGTTTGACTGAAATTGTTTGTTTCATGCATCAACTCTTTTCCATCTCTGTTTCAATCGTAGCCATTATCGTTTGCAAATTTGTCTCGCTCTTTGCTTATGTGATGCTGAATTAGATGTGTTGCCAATATCGTTTTTGTGGTTCAGGGTGATCATGTTTTGTTACATTGACCGCAAATAGGCGTGCCCAATTTTTTATCTTTGATGTCAAAAAAGCTGAGATGGATAACTGTTTGAACAATCGACAAGAAAAAAATTAAAAAGTAATGTTATAAATTTCTGCTTTTTACAGGCAAATTTACAACTAGGACTTTTAGATGAGGTGGACGAGGCTATGGAAGCAGAGCTCTGAGTGAACGCTGGTCGTTGCTAGATCATTCGGTAATCACACGCTGAATGCGCGATAAACAAACTGAGAAACATGGGGCCTGTGACCGACCTGTGTAATCCCTTCAATCTACAGTTTGATATCTGTAATCAGTTCGGAGGGTTTCCTGGACAAAAAAAAAATAATTGCCATACATGTATCTTTCGGAAATGGCAATTGTTTCCAAACGGTAACAAGGGCGAAAATTGAAAAAAATTCAGCTGATTCAAAAGATCACCTTTTCTAAAAAACATTAAAGTGAAATCCATGTAACTGAGAGCCAAAAGTCAAATGCCATTTCCTTCAGGTTATCAGTGATCGGTATAATTCCCCAGCTTTGATACTGTTTATTGAATCTCTACTGGGCTTAAAAAGAAATGTGATCCAGAAATCATATTTTTTATTTTCGCCTTTAAAACTTACATATGAGAACTGAACCAAGCCGCTTTATAGCTTCAGAATAGTAGCTTAAATTCTTCGAAAACTGTATCAAGGTCGGTGGAGCGTTTCAAAACGTTTGAATCTATCTTACACCCAGCCATGTGCATACTCCCACTCAAATTTTCCAAAATGTCCATTGCGATTTTCATTGGCACGAGCAAACCTCTTTGCAATCTTCACGGTTTCTGGTGCGTCCGTAATCGATTGATCGCTTGCTTTCATTTGTTGCGGTACAGTCTAAAATCTTTAAATTTCAGCTGAGCATTCCATAGCTGCTCCGCCGCCTATGTATGTTCAAATGTGTAAAAGAATGATTGCAACCGCCGCTCTGATGAGCCTTTTGTAGCAGTCCCGGACGCTACCCTTTGACGTAAGAGTTTCAATGTCTCCACGATCCATTGGAGTAATTATTAACAGGTGCTTCACTCAAACTGTGACTGTTTTTTTGGTTAGTGTCTGATGTTAGACTTACCGAATTTTTTTTTTTATTTCTGTCCCACATTTTGTGGCTTTGCCTATACGACCAGGTTACCAGATTACTTCCAAAATGATGGCGTCCATTTTAAAAACAGTTTTCGAAAGGTTTTGTTACTCTTTGGAACCTCTTACTATGCTACGAAGAAAACCTGAATCTTTGATAATCAATGGAGGAAATGAAACTGATTATCTTGTCTATTTCTCCTTAAATAATAACCATTATAAGTATAATTTCAGAGCTGAGCAAAGAGTTTCCACCAATCTGATTGGTCGAACGGTTCCTTATATGATGCTATACAAACCACTCCACGCGGTTTTTATAAAATGTTAAAATAAAATGTTAATAAATGTTACTAAAATGTTATGATTTTAGAAATTTCTCTGTTGTTCAGCTCTGAAATTATACTAAAACAATTATTCACCTCAGGTTTGGCGAATATTGTCGAATAATCTCCTCGACTTCGTCTCGGGGATTATCCGACGATATTCACCTTGCCTTCGGCGCATAATTATTAAATATGAACGTGACATTATATATTATATATTTAGGACAAATAAACTAATTAAGACAAGCGTAAGTATTCGATATATTCCGTACTGAGAGTCCATTGAGAATTGCAATAAAAATCAATTTAGTATTACTGTACAAACTAAAGCACTCGTCTGGTGCAGTCTGTGGTTAGCAGGATACCATTGTTACTTGTCAGCGCTTGCCGTGGTTTAACAGTGAGATTAAGTGTCATAAGGACAAGGCGGAAGGCGGAGAGGAAATGGCTTAGGACAAAATCCCATCAGGGCTTTCGCGCTTTCAAAGACGCGCGAAATCGCGCAACGTTTGTCATGAACGGTGCGCGCTGTGAGTATTATACTAATCTCATAACTGAGAACAGTTCAAAACAACGGAACTTGTTTTGCACCACCAAGTCGCTGCCGTGTGAACCGTCTGAGGTGTTGTTTCCAAAGGATCTAGCTCCAGATGATCTCGCCAATGAGTTCGGAAATTTCTTTATTCAGAAGATCGATAAAATTAATAAGTTAATTGAAAGGAAGAGCTCTTTAGAATTGTAAAAAGCCGGAGAAAGGGAGTGCGCTGATTCTGATACGTGTGCAAGTGTCACATTGCCAATTTTAAAACGTTGTCGCAAGAGCAAGTCTCTGAGCTCATCAAGAAAGCTGCCAAGAAATCATGTCCGCTGGATCCAATGCCTACTTTGGTAGTCCTAGAGGTTTTGGATGTGTTGTTACGTGTGATCACGAACATGATTAACTTGTCATTCGAATCTAGCGAATTTGCTAGCGATTGGAAGGAGGCTTTACTAAAACCACTCCTTAAAAGGTGTGGACTTGACATTGCTTTTAGTAATTTCCGCCCAGTTAGCAACCTCCCATATGTTTCCAAATTATCAGAGAAGGCAGCGACTAATCAGCTCATTGACCACATGACAGCTAATGATTTGCATATGCCTCTCCAGTCCGCGTCTAAGCAAAACCGTAGCACTGAGTTAGCACTGCTCAAGGTCAAGAACGATATTTTGTTGAATATGGAAGTGCAAAAGGTCACTTTGTTAGTTCTCCTTGACCTTAGCGCTGCTTTTGACATTGTTCGACACGACCGGCACTCCTCTAAATCGTTGAAAGTCGAGATTTGGTGTGGATGGCAAGGCATTAAAATTGTTTGCGTCGTACCTTACGGATCGTAGACAACGTGTCACTATAAATGATGGCCTATCATCTGCTTTTCCACTCAGACAAAGAGTTCCTCAAGGAAGTTGTCTCAAGCCTCTTCTGTTTACGGTTTACACCAGTAAGTTGTTTGATATCGTCAGCAAGCACCTCCCAAATGTACACTGCTACGCAGATGATACACAGCTGTATTTGGCATTTAGTCCTGCTGTGCAAGGGGAGGACGAGGCCGCCCTAAATGCTATGCGCGACTGCTTACATGACTTGAGGAACTGGATGATTGAAGACCGACTGATGTTAAATGATGATAAGACTGAACTAATGCTTATAGGCACTAGGCAACAGTTAGAGAAAGTCAACTGGAATGATATTACTGTAGGTGACACAGTCGTAGAGGTGAAATCAGTTGTGCAAAATCTTGGGTCACGGTTTGATCGTGATCTGGATATGTCATTCCACATAAGTAAACAATGCGCCTCGGCATTCTATCATTTGAATAATATAAGTCGGATCCGTAGGTTACTAAGTACAGATAGCTCTAAAGCTCTCGTTCATGCGTTTGTTACCTCTCGCGTAGATTATTGCAATATTCTTTTACATGGCTTGCCAGCTTCTCACCTGAATAAGGTTCAGCGCGTTTTAAATGACGCAGCAAGACTATTTTGTCGCGCGCCACGTTGCTGTCGCATAACGCCGTTGCTCTACAAGCTGCACTGGCTACCGCTTAGGCAACGCATTAGTTTTAAGATTCTGCTATTTGTTTTTAAGGCTATCCATGGGATTGCGCCAACTTATTTAAGAGAACTTGTGTCATTTAAAAGACCAGGAAATGATAAATTAGGCTCCTCCTTGGATGGTTTGTTGCTTGCAACGCCAAGTAGGGTTACATTAGGAGACAGATCATTCCAGGTCGCAGTTCCGACACTTTGGAACGCATTACCGCGTGAGAGTCGTTCTATTACAGATCTAGGGATTTTTAAGTGCCACCTGAAAACGCACCTCTTTAAGGAAGCTTTTTATTAATTATTATTTAAATTTTATCATGATAGTTGCTAGTATCGTAACTAAACATATGCTGTATGCTTTAATTTTATCACAGTATATTCTTAATAGCTATTATTGAGATGTAATGCGCGCTTGATCATTTCATGGAAAGCGCGCAATATAAGAATTAAATTATTATCAATAAAGATTTAGAAATGCAAAGACTAGCAAAAACTAACGATAAAAACCGATGTTTCGGTGTCATCATGATGCCATTGTCAAGGAGAAATAAAAATAAAGTTTGTGGCAAGGTGTAACACTAAATTAGCATAAATATGTTACGAGCTAATTAAACAAATACTTTTGCGCGAATTGAATCGCTTTGCACGTTCAGAGTGGGTTTTAAGTCTCTGATGAAAAGCATTTCGTTCACCAAACAATCGAACTTGTTACTACACTTTTTCAGAATGCTAAAACGTTTCAGTAGGTCTTTCGGGAATTCGCTGTGCCGTTCGTGGTAATGTTTAAATATTGAAGATGCCTTTCGTTTATGTCCATCCACGCGTGTGTGTAAGTGTCCGCGTGTATAGCCCACATAACCCGCATCACACAGGTCACATTGAAATTGATAAACGACGCGTTGTTGGTTGACAATCTGTGGCTTGATTTCTCGTACTTTAAGATCTTGGCCAACTTTGCGGCTAACAAATACTGGCTGGACAGTTGTCTGCACCTTCATGCTAAGATTCTTGAGCTCTTTCTTAACATAATTTGCTGATTCCTGATCTTTGAAAGGTATGACCACACGAACAATGGATATTGGTTCTTTGGGCGTCTGTGTGGGCTGCGTACCAACAATTCTTGATTGTAAGAAGGTGTTAATGGTAGAATTTACCAGGCGTTCCGGGTATTTAAGCCGTGCGAAAACTTTCTTTAGGCGATCACACTCATCAGAGAAATGGGCCCAGGAGGAAGATAATCGGTGTGCGCGATCCAGCATAGTTTTCAGCAAGCTCCGTTTGTAGCGATTGTCTACATGGCTTTGGTAGTGTAATAGTAGGCCCGTGTTTGTTGGTTTCACATATACCTTGGTTTCAATCCGAGGTGCATGGTTGAGTAGTTCGGTGCCAAGGAAAGGAAGCTTGCTGTTCTTCTTGCTGAAAACTATGCTGGATCGCGCACACCGATTATCTTCCTCCTGGGCCCATTTCTCTGATGAGTGTGATCGCCTAAAGAAAGTTTTCGCACGGCTTAAATACCCGGAACGCCTGGTAAATTCTACCATTAACACCTTCTTACAATCAAGAATTGTTGGTACGCAGCCCACACAGACGCCCAAAGAACCAATATCCATTGTTCGTGTGGTCATACCTTTCAAAGATCAGGAATCAGCAAATTATGTTAAGAAAGAGCTCAAGAATCTTAGCATGAAGGTGCAGACAACTGTCCAGCCAGTATTNCCTTTGGACGAAACAATAGAGATCTTGGTTAACAGAGCCTTTTCGAACAATTGGTTCAATACTACCCACAATCTTGCCCTTACCAGAACAGATCTTATTGACCTCCTAAACGTAGCCACCAAAGGCCAACTATTTCAATTTAACGGAGCTCTATACGAACAGACAGATGGCGTTGCTATGGGGTCCCCTCTCGGGCCCTTATTAGCAAACGTCTTCATGTCATCCATCGAAGATACCCTTGAGCGACAAAGAAAACTCCCATCCTATTATCGTCGATATGTTGATGATACACTCACTGTAATGCCTGATCTAGCAACAGCAACTACCTTCTTGCATACCCTCAACAGCGCCCACACTTCGGTCAAATTCACCATGGAGGTGGAGAAGAACAGCAAGCTTCCTTTCCTTGGCACCGAACTACTCAACCATGCACCTCGGATTGAAACCAAGGTATATGTGAAACCAACAAACACGGGCCTACTATTACACTACCAAAGCCATGTAGACAATCGCTACAAACGGAGCTTGCTGAAAACTATGCTGGATCGCGCACACCGATTATCTTCCTCCTGGGCCCATTTCTCTGATGAGTGTGATCGCCTAAAGAAAGTTTTCGCACGGCTTAAATACCCGGAACGCCTGGTAAATTCTACCATTAACACCTTCTTACAATCAAGAATTGTTGGTACGCAGCCCACACAGACGCCCAAAGAACCAATATCCATTGTTCGTGTGGTCATACCTTTCAAAGATCAGGAATCAGCAAATTATGTTAAGAAAGAGCTCAAGAATCTTAGCATGAAGGTGCAGACAACTGTCCAGCCAGTATTTGTTAGCCGCAAAGTTGGCCAAGATCTTAAAGTACGAGAAATCAAGCCACAGATTGTCAACCAACAACGCGTCGTTTATCAATTTCAATGTGACCTGTGTGATGCGGGTTATGTGGGCTATACACGCGGACACTTACACACACGCGTGGATGGACATAAACGAAAGGCATCTTCAATATATAAACACTACCACGAACGGCACAGCGAAGTCCCGAAAGACCTACTGAAACGTTTTAGCATTCTGAAAAAGTGTAGTAACAAGTTCGATTGTTTGGTGAACGAAATGCTTTTCATCAGAGACTTAAAACCCACTCTGAACGTGCAAAGCGATTCAATTCGCGCAAAAGTATTTGTTTAATTAGCTCGTAACATATTTATGCTAATTTAGTGTTACATCTTGCCACAAACTTTATTTTTATTTCTCCTTGACAATGGCGTCATGGTAAATTATTATCGTTATTATTATTTGTCACTCCAAACTTTAAAGAGATCATGAAACTGATATTCATCATCTCTTATTCATGCATTAAGACAGACCCATGTCAAGATGCTACTTTATAAGGCCAAGGTGTGGCACGAAAGCCTCTATGAGATAACTGGAAACATGAATATCTAAACTTGCTACACGAAACGCAAATGTACGCGTTTAGAGAAATTTACTAATATCGCTTGATTGAGGTCATGAAAGAATCTTGGACTGTGGTATGGATCGTCCATCGCTTCCAGCTTCGGTCGGATTATCACTTGCTCTTATCCATCGCTTTGCCAACAAATGTCTTCATGGTGCCATTCACTAACATTTCACTGTGAGAAAAAGGAATATGCGACTTTACATGTTGTGAAGACTTCCTCAGTATTTCATTATCAGACTTCGAAGTATACTACAATAACATGAACTGAACTTAGAATTATTCTGAGAGCCTTAGCGAACTTTTCCAAACACGCACGTCCAAAAAGCCTTATCTTCTGCTTAAACTTCACGCTCAACAAAACTGTCTCATAAAAAATGGATAATTAACACGAAACATCAATATTCCAGACACGATATATTTCTAATAGTCACCCGCAGCCGAATTTCTTAATGGCACTTGCACCAACGTGGCGCCCTTCAAAAGTAAAGCTATGCGAAAATCACACAATAGACACGACACATGTTTTTTTTGTGTTAACCATAATTCAGTTAGTCCAGACCAGTGTACAAATTGAAGTTACTCAGTCTGGGGCTATGAAGTTTTGGCTTCGTGCCAACTGGAAGGTTGAAAGTTTCGTGACTGGAATGATATCCCAGAACAAGTTTCCTTCAAACAACTTTAGGATCTTAAAGAATTCCCAGAGCCTGTATATTTCTGAAAGTTCCACTTGGAAAATAATCAACGTTATAAGCGTGGCAGACCAAGAAATTCCTAAGAAATTCAAAGCCCCTTGCTAAACAATTATAAAGTGGTCAGAATTACCTTTATCTGCAAAATGGGAACAGGTAAAGCGATGACAAGCACACCAAACAAACAACAGGCGCTGCCCACCAGCCGACCAGCCAGTGTCTCTGGTATGATATCACCATAGCTTGAATAAGAAAAAGGAAAAACACTCGATTATGCCGTCTTAGCTAAAAAAAAAAAAAAACACTCATGAGCGGGGCGACTTTGCATAAAACGCATGTAAACTTTTGTTATGGTTTTAAACGACATATTTGTGAAATAATTTTAAGGGGAAACTTTACTTATAAACTAGATTTTTTAGTATATCGCCGAGGGTCCAACACAAGTCGTCACCGACAAGTGACTTGGCCACAACGCCGCAAACGCTTCCTCTGATGAAGCTGACTCAAGGCCAGCAATACAACAGGCGATGTGATACGCAAATCGCCACGAAATTTGTTGCGACGACGATGCACTTCACTTCAAAGCCAAAAACTCCTGTTCTAAGGATCGACGTACTCGCAGCGATCAGAAAATCACGAAAACAGGTGACTATGGGGAATACCGATATTTCACATGAAATTGAAGTTAGGCGTGTCGGTAATTTTGAGCACCTATCGCGCTAATCAGCGAACAACGCCATCGTTCTACAATATAAACTTAGTAACGATTTCCACCGATAGCCGGGGTCACCGAATAAAATCACATGGTGTGTCGCCGGCGTAACTTGTGAAAAAGCTTCCAACCCGAAATGCGATAAAGCTGAGCGATTTTTAAAACGTTTTACTTGTTATACGACAGCCAGTGACAGAACTTATTTTTTTTAACTAATCTTTACATACCCTGCAGTTGTTGACGTGATAACTGCGTACCACATGGCTTCAGGAATGCTAGTAAACTGTGTGTCCTCTGAAAATTCGGCAAAGTAGATGATACTCGAAACTAAAATAACCATGACCATATATAGGAATCCTATGAGACCTAACTCAGTGGCAGAATCCTTCATGCTTTGGATCAACTGTTTTAATCTTTTAGAATGGCGTAGAAGTTTAAAGATGCGAAGTATCCTTAAGACTCGTAACACCACTAGAGCATTCATGCCAAGCTGGGCATCAAGCGACAGTGCGTTCAAGATCAAGTCGATGTAATATGGCAGAATTGCAAGTAGATCCACGATACTCATTAGGTTGATGATAAATTTCAAACGGTTGGGACATGTTAACAACCGCGAGGCAAACTCGAACGTGAAGAAACCTACACAGACTGTATCAAGGTAGAAATAAGTGTCCTCGTTTTCCTCTTTGCAAACTCTTATCGTTCCTTCACACGTGATTGTTTCAGTTGTGTTTGCCACAACACTGATCACGATTGCGATGACACTTACCAGATAGAATATCTTCGCAAATAAAGAAATAGAAGGTTCTTTAAGTGTGAGCCAAACCTTTTCTCTAAAGGAGGCGTTTGGATCAATGGTATGGACAGCCTTTGCTGCTTCCTTCTCCCTAGCTTCTTGTTCCTCTCGTCTTTTATTCAGTCTTTCGTACGCTGCTTCAAACGTCTCGAACCAACAGCACTCACAAAGCATACTGATGTCCAACCCAAAAAACGCCACTTCGTCTAAGAAAGATTGAACGCAATCATCTCGCGGACAATGCAGCTGTCCTGAGTGATAAAAATTCCAAATGTAGCGAAAACTGTCTGGGTCCCGGTCAAAAAAGAATTCATTCTTGAGCTTATCATAAAAAATATTCCTTGCTTTACCTCCCAGTAAAGTGTTTGGATAGATGGAAAGAAAGTAATCTCGAATTTGGAAACGTCTGCCACTCACATTCAGAATAACAATTTTGTCGTCGTCGGGGAAATCGATTTCTGGTCGTTTACGACGAGAAGAGCGCGAATTCGTACTTCGGATGCTATGTTTAGAGGAGCTGTGGAACTTGGAGAGTAATTTCGACGGAGATATTAGCGACAAAAAACTTTTCATCAAGGACGTTTCGCCTCTACCTGAAGACCCCGCAAATGCTGAAGATGTAGAGCTGTTGATGCTACACGATGCATGCGTAAGTTTCTGATCTGAAAATTTTTTCCTTTTAAGATATAAGGCTTTCGAAGGACGATACTCCAATAAAGATTTTGAACTGCCCTCTGAAGACTGGTTTGAATCGGAAAAATGAGCCATGTTTGGGTGAAGAAACGTTGATGACTTATTCTCCAATTTTGCGCCGGAGAGTTTTTCTGATCTTTCGCTTGACTGTTCAACTTTCGAATTATCCCCCATTGAAGCAACAGACTTTGCACTTGATCTCCTCTCTCGAGGCCCTGAAATTGCAAGGGGATTACTGTAGAGTCTTAAATCAGGGGTCGATAATTGTTTACAAGTAGAGTTGGTCGTCGGATGTAGAGAGTTTTTTGGCGGTGTGCTGCTGTGTATACCCATACTTGAAGATCTCTTGGATGTGGTTGTCGAAAGACGATTTAAGTCATTCTCCGATTTGTTTCTGTTTATAAATGTGTCGCACACCATAAGAGGGACGATTTCGTCAGCCGGATTGCCTCTGTCGATGGTTTCCTCTTGGAGAATTTGGTTCGAAAATTCAAAAGTTAAACCTTCTGAACTTGGCGTTGACAGAGGTGTGTAATTTGTGGCTATTAAACAACAAAGTCGTTTGGACGGGTTCCTGCAACAGGTTGATCTGTTCCGATGTAAGTTCGGTGTGGAACGGGCAACAGGTAAACAAACACTACTTACGTTCAATTTAGTCAATAATTCTCCCGATCTGTTCAACAAAGCTGATGAATCTCGCACTAATTCCACTGAAATATCTTGAACGTTACAAGAGCAGGCGAGAGATAGTTCGTCAGCACTTTTAAAAGACGCTCGGCTGTTTGAATCAGCATGATTAATACTCTCGCTTTTTGCAGTATAGTCTTCGCAGACGCTCGAGTCGTTGTCAAGTGAAAACTCAGAAGTTGATGGTGATGAATGAAGAGAGAGCGACAACTTTCCAGGCCTTGATGAAGTCCTAGAGACATTTGGTAATGGTGGCGGAGCGAGAAAATCTTTCGAAACTCCTTTTATCAGACTTTGTTCAGACTTGCTTGTTCGCACACAGGGTGACAATAAAACAGCTGGCACTTCAAGATTATTTTTGTTTGAAAGTTCAGCAGCTTTGTCTCGTTCTTCGCTGTCTTCTGAAATTTGAATTACAGGCGAGAATAGTGTCCGCGGTATTTCTTTTGAGACTTCTAATGAAGAATCGTTGAAGAAATAATTGTCTCCCTCGATATCATGATACTCACTCATGTTTGAAAAAGTATTTGATCCCTGTTGGGGATGCGACAGTAGTCGTTAAATTCTGGTGCTAAAAAAATCTCGTAGATAAAACTTTAATAAACCGCATTTCAGTTTATTGAATGTTCTTCGCACCAGTTCTTCAATCTATGACGGAAGACGTTCTCATCACTTCGTAATTTTTTCTCCGCCGGTTATAGCAGTTCAAAGCTTGAACCAAATCCAGTTATGGTCCAAACAATCACCACTGATAGGAGCTGTTTCAGTAACTACTGTTTCCTGTCTCAATTTCCTTTAGACAAGTGGGAATTTTTGTGTTTGACAAGCACAAATCAAACATTGTCCTCAAATTTCCGCATCTTTGTCAATACCTTAAGATATTCCGTGCGCGAGAAAATTATCGACACAGTTGACGTTTCCAATAAAGGCTTGCCTCGCATCACATCACTGCCTCCTTTGCAAAATCCCACGCGACGAAAGAAATGATTCTCGGGCGAACGTCAAGAAATACTGCCGATTTATTAAATCATGAGTTTGAAGTCATTAAATAAACATCAGTTTGCGCACCTCCAAAGAAAAAAAAACTGCAAAATAACGTAAAAGGAGGCTCTCGGATTCGATGAGTTCGGTGATTTTCTGAAGAATTCGGCTTTCGATCGATCAATGAGAGAAATTAGCATCCTTGCGCAAAACAGTGGGTAGACACTTCCTAGCGGGTCTTTGAAGTAAAATAATAACAATTTTGAACTCACGAAGACACCAACCTAACATAAACAGAGATAAGCAGTTACAAGCGAGAAGCGATTCTTTAAATTTTAATAAGCCTGGCTTCTATTATGGAATCTACTCGGAGCCTGGGTGAGTTCAAAATAATCAACTTCATTCTGGACAGTGAAAAATCCTGTATCATTTTCTTTTATTGTAAATGCAATAAAAAGCTTAAAATACTCCATTTACAAATGTTTTATGAGCAGGGATCCTACAACAAATTTCTATCAAAACATCTTAATTAACGCACCAATTTTCTGAAGTGAAATTAAACGTAAATAAAACAATGTAAATGGATTTGAGTGAAGTACGTAAGCAGTAAAAAAAAAAAAAAAAGATCGATGAATTGATAAGATGGTTCCAAACTCAGTGGATGTAAAATTCTTACACAATAAATTACGGTTAGATATTCTTGACATAAATATTTTCTTGGGGTCTATGTGATTTGTCAGAAAAGATTGCTTTTGTGCATAGCTTGATACTAGTTCACAGGCGAAAGTTTCCCTGTTCAAAGACAAAACTAAGCTACAATGTTCATCTTTTATCCTTACTTTTTTTTACATTCGAGTTTTATTTACAAGTTTTTATTAGGTCGGTGATAAGGAAACAAAATTTTTTCATAGTATAACACTATTGTAATTAATTTTGATGGAGATTAGCCTAAGAACAGGTCATTTCTCTCCCTTCTCAGCCAGACGAAACATTTAAGATTTGACAAGTTCAAAGACAAACATGTACAGTTAGAAATGAATCATTCAATTGAACTAATCCTTTGCCTTAATTTACGAGCCGAAAAAAATCGCACTTTCACAGACAAAACTCGATATTGTTACGTTGTCTTAAACGTTTTCCCTGCAACTGGGGGAAACGAGGGCGCTTGGTTTAAAAGAAGAAGAAACACTGGCTTCAGTTTCTCGCAACCAGGCTTCACAATTTGAAATAGACGATATTGGTCTACTGTTTCAAATTATGCTAATCTTTCGACTTATTCAATTAAAGCAATCCTCTCCTTTAAGAGAAGTAAATTGTTGCTATGAAAGGAAAGCTGTCGAATCAGATAAAGGACAAAATGATCTCAGGTTAAACTCAAATGTGTTTGGATGGATTTCAAAATGTTCAAACAAACGTTCCTTGCCGTTGAAGGTCAAGGAAATCATCACAAAATAAATTCACTGACGTCACTAGTCATTCGAGTTATCTATCGCTAGCCGTCTCGATTTTAAGGTCTTATAGTTGGCTTCTGACAGGAAGTTTAGTAATTTTTACTTCAGGCGTCGCTTCGAAAGGAGAGGCTTTCTTTCTACATCTTGTCTTGGAGGAAAAATGGTCGGGAAATGTAATTCTCTCAGTAACGAGGGTGCCACTTTGAGAAAATGTACTGCGAGATAATCAAATTTTAACAATTGCTTATATTTTGGTTAATTTCCGTAAGATAACCCTGAACTGATGGTGCATACATATACTCTTTTAGATATTGCGGAAAGATGGATCCTGAGGTTGTTTTGAGAGGTCCTAGTGCTGGTGTCTTAGTGAGTCCTGAAAATGATAACGACTTTCGCAGAAATAACCAGGCTTTTCCATTACTTTGTCTATGAAACGAGTTCGTCGTTGAAGTTCTTGAACCCTAATCAATGTGACAAACGTTTTCTCAATATGGGGTGACTCGAACTGACAGTGTGATGGGGCCAAGTGACGTTCATTCCTACGATATTGTTTGTGTCGTAAGAAGACAAAAGCAATTCTTTAGTTTAGTGTATCTTGTACTTATGTATTGGTGTGGTTAGAGAAAACGAAGAGGGAAAAAGCATGTAGTTAAGCACGAGAGTTTTCTTCATTCATTGGATTCTTTATTTAGGCCTTCACGTCGTTCTTCAAATCAAAACTTCCTTCTATGAAGTACGGGCAAGTTTTGCTTTGATACTTTTCATTTGCATTGTGATAACACCGACCACTGTGCTCTGATTGATTACTACAAGGTAGTTTCCATGAGTTCCTTTGTGGCCTGAGGTCGTTGTGTAAACTCGAGTAAACGCTAGCTTAAGATCTTACTGTTTCCCTCTGGACCTCGCCAAATTGGCATGTAGTTAAAAATGGCCTTTGAAGATAACAGATCATCAAATAGACGATAATACAAGCCTCATAAATTATATTTGAAATTTATTCTAAATGATACTTTGTTAACATTATTCGTTCTCTCATAAAATTTAAATCCACACTACTCTCATAAAGCATGAGCCACAAGTGCTATAGTTATTTTCTGAACAAGGACACTCGTTTTACCTTACAGAGGCAAAAAAAAGTTACATATGCAATAGTCACCGGTTCCCTTTTTCCGCTGATCAATCTAAGTACCGACAAGTAGATTTAGAACAAGAAATGAAACCAAGATCATGCAGTGCGAGAAACACATGACTAAACAAAAGACCATAATTCTCTTAAAATGTTTTGACATTCAATCCCATTAACTTTTGTTGGGTAAATACTTAGTCTTTAATTGTTTTTGAAAGGCATTTACATACTTCCCCGCACCAATTTTCTCTTGTGTATTCAAAACCTTTTTTCCGAAAAATATCACGTTGTGCGAGGAACAATGCGAAGTACCTCAAAACCGCATATTGCCGCATTCAACGTTGAGTCTCTCAGCAACCGCAAAGCTAAGTTACTCGGTAGAAGACATCCCAAACACTATCAACAGATAGTATTTCCTCCATCTGTTCTTTGAGTGTCACTGTTTATCAAAAGTGGTGTCGTCTCTTCAATTCTATGTTTACTGATTAAGTATTTTCTGACTCTCCTCTGTTCCGTAAAACCGCTTTTTGGAAATTGTCTGTTTCTGCACATGACGTACTGAACGAAGCAACCAAGAAATGACAGGAAGACCCATGTTGCAGACAAGATGTAATCTATGAGGAATAAAACCATATGCACCATTACATTTTCTACGTGACATTTTCATGGTCGTAGCTTAGGGAATAGCCTGCGTCCCAGACAGTCTAAACCGTCGGTATAGACAGTCTGCGACGGACTATACCGGGTATTATGTGACACGTCCGGCTGCAACGCAGGCTACTTAGGGAACTGACCATTCCACAACGGTTCATTAGGCGCGGCAATAAAACTCACCATTTTGCTGGAAAGGCCTGGTGACAAGTAAATGATCGCGCCGATACTGTGGCTTGGTAGCATGAAGAATGACATCGATCACTATGAAGGAAATACTTGTGTGGATGAAGAAATCGATGCCTGGTTAGAACAAGACACTCAAAGAATTAGTGACAGACTTTGTGAAAGACTATTGATAACTATTTAACTTGCACTACATGGACCCCAACATGATGGTCATTTGAAAGTGAAAACCGCAAAACTTTGACTCTTCAAATGGAGATCCCCAAGCCTAGATAATGATCTGAAATTTTGAAATTGGAGTAATTGAAATTCAATACATATTCCTCGAAGAAAGAGATCAAACACTCCACCGCAATCGCCACGTTGTGTTGGAAAATCAGTAAATCTACTGTGCCATGATTTTCATCTAACTCCACCTATCGTTTAAATTTGTTACATTCACAATCCCGTTCTCCATGATCCCAGTCAATAACTGAGGTATTCAGGAAAAGGATATGATGGATTTACAATGTATAGTTAAATCAAGGTAAACATGAATAGGTAATGCATGGCAAGGGCATTAAAACAAGCAACATGCATGCTTACCTACAATAAAAGCATAGGCAGATACAATGGAAGTGTAAACAACACACAGCTGAGGAGTAAAGTTGAAAATCTATCAGTTTTAGTTAAGGAATTCCATATAAAGCCTTGTGTGTAAAATTGCGGACAAAAAGACAAAACCATAGCATTAATAAGACACACGGTAAGACTGAACAATAGGAACTCAGACATTTATAGGCTTGTACGCTTGTTCTGACACCAGTTATTGTAGTTTGAGCGACGTTAGATCCCTAATAACCTCAATAGGTGCCCTTCTATAGGCCCTCCACATAAAACGAGGTAAGGCTTGTCGTACCACACCATTTAAGTAAAGAGAGTTATCCTTACCAAGAAAGGCCAAAGTACCAAAATCACTGGAACTACTACAGTACATGCACAGATAATGGCCCCATAGTCAAAGTCACTGCCTTGAACAACGTCCAGTTCCCCTGTAATTGGAAGTAAATTGGCATTAATGGCTAACTTCAGAATCAACAGAACAAGTCAAAAAGAAATTTTATCTGTACATTTGTATCATCATACTGTAATGTATATGTACTTGTGTGATTATTTTTAACTTGCTGAGTTTAGGCCTGACTCAAAAGCTGATGTCAAACAGGAAATATACAAATCAGCTAACTTTTCCTCTACCTTTTGGATTAGGAGGAGAATATTTTAAAAGCAGTAGATGCAAACATTTTCACTTCATAAGTGTGCATGCCACTAAAACCAAATGACAGAAAGCTCAGCTTCTGCCACTCACCCTAAGTTCCCCACGCTTGAGCTCTAAACTGATTTGGACAAAAAAATAGTAACTTTTGAAACTTCTCTACTTACCAAGTGGTGTGAACAGAAGGGTTGCTCCAACCAAGAAACCAAGGAGTAAAGAATTGAAAAGGAGACAAATCCTTGTCCACTCTGTAAACCACCACAAGGCAAACACCAAAACACCAAAAACTACACCTAAACCAGCACTTGTCAGCATTGTACCTGATAAAAATAAATTTAATACAAACATTATTTTGATATATGTTACATGGGAGAAAAAATAATAGTTATGAACACAATTTTGGTTCATGATGTTTCATGCACTGTAAGCTAGTAATTGTCTGTATTTCACTGGTATTACAATTACACACGAAAATAATCTGTAAATGGACACTTATTCAAAATTCATTCCAGATGAGACATTTTCAGGTATTTTATGATTAGACAAAGCTACTCTTTCTAGCCAACATTCAAACACAGGGCACTCTACATACCAAGATGACTTAAGTTAGTGTTGGCATCAATTATGATAAAAAATATGATGGAAAAATTTGCAAGTCCTCCAAAAAATAAGGCTGAAAAAAAAAAAAAAGCTGGTTAATTAAGAGCAACAGAGAAAAATTCAGTACAAAATAGATGGAGGTAAGAACTGTAGTAAATTCTTGAGGAATATTATATTAAATATGACTCATCCCAGCATGCACTTTAAATGAAAAACAATTTTGAAAAATCCCTTAATGAGGGCTGTGCAGGGCCCTCAAAAAGCCCAATGGCCATGTGAACAGCCTTGCAGTAGGTAACAATGCTAGAAGGAAGACAGAAAAAGAGCTACAGTCATGTAATAAAATGCTCACTGACTGAGTAAGGTTAGGCCAAATGGAAAATATTTGAAACTTAGTCATGACCTGGAGTCAAACATTTAGTCATTTGGCCCCTCCAATCTGTCAATAAGTTAAAATATTTACATAGAGATTAAAGAATAAACTTTTTACAACAAGCACCAACAGCTAGAGAAAACTGGCTATCCTAAAAAGGCTTACAGCTAGTCCAATGGACATAATGTGGGAACAAAGGAGCCTAGCAAATGTGCATCCTTCCAAGGTTTTTTTTCTCACTTTGGTTCTTGGATGGCACAGACACAAAAAATATTGGAAATCTTGCACAATTATAATTAACAATTATTCCACAAGTGCGCGTTGGATATGAGATGATAGATAGCCAACGAGGCGCGTAGTGCTGAGTTGGCTATAATCATCTCATATCCAACAAGTGCGGGTGGAATAATTGTTTTATTAAAAAAAAAAAAACATCCCCAATA